TTTTTTCACTGTGAATGGTTGTTGTTTATTTGTGCCTAATAGTTAAACATTTCAGGAGTTTGCTCAATACTCCTTGTTATCAAGTACTTTCTTAATTTCTCTGTTTTTTGTTTTTTCTCTCCTGCATGACAGATGAAAAGCCGCTCTAATTATTCCAGGAGGCTGGGAAATAAATGATTGTCTTTGAAGTAGGCCCAGGCTGTGGACTGCATTAGAAGCCAAGCATGTGATTTGCAACTGTTGAAGTAAAAACCCTCACTCTGCAGTAGGGCAAAAAAGGAAAATGAGGAGGCTGGATTCTCGGCAAAAGAAAATGGTATCTTTGTTTGCTCCCCTTTGTTTACCGGGGGATTCTTTCTCATTTTTCCCCTTTTTTTCATTTTTACTAATTCATTTCAATGGCTTTCAAACTGGAAAATGGAAATGTTGCTCCTGCCCTCTATTTCGGCGGCAGTGTCCTGGCAACAGAGCAATTTTCTATCATCAGGGATAAACGGCATCGAACAGTACATTCTGATAAAAAAAGCCCATGATTGCTGGCCTTCCTGTCTGTCATCTACCGACCAAATCCTCTCCTTCAAGAACAACCTCTGTGCTGTCAGACCTAATAATGTCGCGTATTAAGTCGAGAGAGGAAAAATGGGGGACCAGTGCACGCCCTCGGCTCTCACTAGTCTTATTAGTCACCAACATAAAATTCAGATCAACTTTTGGAATACAGCTCCTTTGTTATTGACCCGGTAAACAAGATCAAGGAGTTAGACGTGTTTGCTAGGTCATATAGATTAGACATGTCCTGATCGTAACGGAGTCACTGATAAAAACCGGATTATTATCCACATCCTGGTCTTAAAGCTGCCAATAAACCCCACATATCATCCTCCTCAGCTATTTCCCCTTTATTGTCTTATTGGCAGCATTGCCAGAAATGTCAAAACACTGTTTTCAGTTCCACGCCATTTTGCTCATCAGGAAATACTTTAGGCTATTCCTGCCCACATGGCTGAATTTCACGTGTATTGGCCTTCGTTTCTTTGCAGCACTTTTAAAAAAGAATAAAATGTAGGAACCATATGGGTGGCGCAGGGTACTGAGCATCACGAATCTCTTAGGAGGACCCAAATCTGCATTGAAGGAAGGTGACAGGAGAAACAAGTAGCCTTAATTGGGACACAGGCTCTGACTGGGGCCAGTGCAGCTTCAGCCGTGCCAAATTAAATCCATTAGTCTATGAGAGGCTGTGAAGACTCGGTGGTAAAGGCCTTTGCTTATTTGTGGTCATTTAACTCCACCACCATCACGCTACACTGGGTCCATCTGAAGGCCCTGGCCTGCACCTGGGGCCATGCATATGCCAATTTAGCTATTTAGTCGGAGAGCAATCCTAATTTATGATGCAAAACTTATTGTAAATAGTCGCCTGCCTGGGTGCGCATGGTTTTCTTTGTGACAAAACCACACTGGTTTTTCTTAGTGTAGTTGCACGCTTTTACAAAACACATCAAAGCTTTGCATAAGTGGGTTTGCATTAGTACACTGCGCAATTTGTGTGCGTAAAGGCGGCGCGCTACCATTTGGTCATGGATGAATTCTACTGTAAATGATGATCCGTGATCGTTTTGGGCTGATGAGGGCGTGTGTTTGATTGGGGCCGTTCCCTCTGAATCTAGTTACAGTTATGCTGACAGCTGTGTGTGGTATGCATCTGCACTTCCCTTCTTCACTTCTCGCCGTTCACACAGCAAAGATGTTGGGCCGTCGACGCTCGGCTGTCTGTGAGTCTGTCAGTGGCTTTGCGCTGCGGAGAAGGGAAACATATTGTTTAAGTACCTCCCTGTGTCTGTTTGCAGTGACAGGCCTCAGCGTCCCCAAACCGCCGGGTCCCTGAGCAGCCAAGGGGGTGGCTTTCCATGCGAGCCAGTCAATAGCTGTTAGAAGGACAGACCGCAAACGACCAGCCTCTCGATACAATCATGACCCATGTCTTGCCTGAACTCCGTGATAACTCTCAGAGATGATTAACACATGTGGCCAAATAGACAAGAAAGGATGTGCAGTGTTAAAACCGCCAGTTACACACATTCAGGGGAGGAGAGAGAAAGGAGGGAAGGAACTTTGTTATACTTTCCAAATTCTGACTGTACTGATAATAAATTTCTATCTCGTGTAGCCTCATATATGTGCAATTTAGTTTAAGGTGCCTACCTCATCCTAAGGAACTGACACCAGCAATGTTAACCATAAAGCAGGCCTAACACCAGGTCGCACCTACAACCACAGTGTAAAATATTCTCAATTTTCATCCATCCCATCCCAGACAATGAATGTCAGGGAAATCCCAGGCCTGATACATCCACCACGTTTGGATATTGGAGTGATTTTAGAGAGTCATTCATCAGCGTTTATAAGACAGCTGGAAATAAAGACCACTTCTGTTAAACCACCACAGCCATTGATTGTGCTGAAGGTCAATCATCTACTTAGGGACAAAGTGATTTCTAGAATTTGCAGCTGAACGCTGTTCATTTTGTGATTGACATTTCGACAACTGAAATATAAAGTAATTTCTCTCAGGAAAAAGGTTATGATCTCCTACAATCCAAGATTAATGGGGTACAATACAACAGGAACCCTGATATAGCAGGTGAAACATGCGTCAAAGGCTTCATGTCTCATTTTCAGAATTTGCACAAATGCAAATGAGTTTTTTGTTCCACAAACCGATCGTTTATAAATCCTGTCCACTGATAGCATCCTATATAAACCTATAGTATGTGCTCTGTAATTAGACCCGGTTGTCAGCATGCATATAACAGGCCACATCTTAAACATTTCACAAGCTCCAAGGTCGAGTATGTCATGTTCTCTCTAGTCAAACAAATCCGTCCTTTCACCACGTCACTTTATCTCAGTGCGCTTAGAAAACCTCCCAACACGCCCGTGACACACCAAGACTGTGACATTGCCCACACTGCCAGCCCGCAATTTAATAATCCTGCGGTGGCACACATGATGCTGAACAACCTGAAGAACGAAGATGTCTCATCTAATCGAGTCAGAGTCAGGGAAACAACTAACATCATCGCAAGGCATGTGTGTCGTTGCAGTCCACCACTCAAAGGCGATTAGAAAAGTTCTATAGGATCCGGTTTCTCTTGAGCGTGTCCAAGTGGAACACCGGCTGGGGAATTGGTGACTTTGTTAGATCACTGAGGGGTGACTGGGGTGTGCTGACTCCTGCCAGGTCTGCAGGGCCACTGTGTTGCCAAAAGTACAGAATTATCAGTGGCAATAAAATCATTTAGCAATGTCAGTTAACACAAAAGAGCATCCAAAAAGAAGCTCTTACCTGCAGCCCCCCTGAAGACACAGAAGTGCTCTGATTTTCATCATTAAAATCATCTAAGAGAGTCTGGAAGAATCAAACAAATCCGTGTGGATGTCTTGCGGCTTACATCCCTCTCTCTGTGCTCCTCTTTCGGTCCGCTGCTGTAAAATGATTATCCGGCTGGGTTGTGCACTTTTAAATCCCACAAAGTAAATAACAACCGTAGCTGACGATAATAGCAAGGTACCAAGTTCTTGTTACAGAAAAGGAGAAAATTGAAACTAAACGCTGCATTTAGACAACCATTTTTGATAAGAGGATAATTGAGGCGACACTGGCGTATAATTAGGGGATAATTTATGCTATATCCACTTTTATTCCACCCTCCCAAAATAAATCCAGTCCATAATCATTACAGGCGAATTGTTCTTAATTTTATAGCTGCGATTTGAGTAAGTGTGGCCGCTAATCAAATAGGTTTTCGTAGTAACTTGATTGCATCTATAATTATTTTAGTCGCTTTTTGTGAAAACGCTGAATGCTGCATGGCGGGGAAAAAAGTGCTGAAAGCGGTGTAAAACCTGAGTTGAATACCTATTGCATTAGTATAAGCGGAAATAGCGTGATATTCTTATTTGCAAATCGATCATCGCAGCCCTCTGAGACAAACTGTATAATTTACATATATTGAGGACCCTAGCAGGCCTCATATTACAACCGGGATAAAAGACACTGTCAGTTTATTTCAGTATCCACCCTTCTATCTGCAAAATAACCTATTGTACCTCAGGCATATTGTTATTTGATGTGTCAAACGTACTGTATTTTGTAATTGTCTGAGGATCCTTAATCATATGGTCAGTAGCTCCGGGAACAAAACGAACTGTTATAATATATGTTACTTTCACAGCAGCGGGGGGCTTGAAGAAGGACCGCTCATTAGGCGACATTAAAGCTAATATTACACTGCAATCAATTATGTAATTCTTGGTTAAATAGGGGGAAAAGTTTGAATCTGTTAATAAAAAACGTGGTGTTGGAGGCATATTTTCCTTTATTTCCAAAGCAGTTTCAGGAGTTTCCTTGACATAAAACAGATCACTCCTCTAGTATAAATATGTCACTAAATGTAGAAAAATCTTTAAACGACTGGAATTACTCCACAGTCACTGGTAAATGTTTAGAAATGCGATGAAAAATGATTTAATCCTTCTAAACGATGAAGGATGAAGTGTGAGGTTGAATATTTTTGTAGTGTAGGGCTAAGAAACAATTTAGCTTAAAACAATTTAATATATTATAGGCTATTAAAATTCCTAAATAAGATGTTTGTGTGATGCTTAAGTGATTCCAGAGGAAAGGAGAAATTAAAAGCTGAGAAGAAGAAGCACATATACACTGCTGGCTCATCTGGTTAAATCAGTGTGCAGTAAATGTTGCGCGTCGTGCGTAATTTGGAGGTTTGGGTAAAAAAAACAAAAACAAAATCGACACGACAACGCAAAAATGGACGGTTTTACGTGTGATACTTGTCTGTAAGAATTAGGCGTCTTTCCCACCATATATTATTTCCCCCATAGTTGTGGTGGGAGCTGGTAAGGTGGGTTAACTCCAGCTCAAGTCTCCGTGAAGCGCAGAGCAGTGATGACGTTGGGTTGGATGACCAATAGGGAGGCGCTGCCCTTTGGAGACAAACCATTCTACTTGTAGTGTCTGCATCAAGTCTGGAAGCAAGGGCTCAAATTTAACAGAATCCACCTTAAAATCTCTCCCTTAACTTATGCCTACCTTCCGCCACTTTGAGTGAGAATATCACAGGACAAGGGGGGGAATAAAGACGCCTCTGGAAAATTCGTGTGTTAATAGGACAATATCTGCTCGCGGTGGAGAGGGGAGAGAGCCAACAGCACAGCGAGAGAGAGAAAACCGATTTGGTCCTGAGAGAGAGGGGGGTGAGTGCTCTCAAGGCAGAAAATTCGATGATGACCATGACTACGATGGCTGACGGTCTGGAGGCTCAGGACTCGTCCAAGTCTGCGTTCATGGAGTTTGGTCAGCAGTCGCACTCACAGCAGAGCTCCCCGTCGATGGCCAGCGGCCACTACCCGCTGCACTGTCTCCACTCCGGCTCACACGCTCACCACCAGCACGACAACACCCCGTACCCCGGGACCAACACCTACAACAGGTCCTTGCCATACCCCTATGTGAGCCATCCGCACCACAGCCCGTATCTGCCATCCTATCACAACAACACGGGAGGACAGACAAGGTTAGACGGCACAGGTAAGAGACCCCCTTTTCACCAGCCAAGTGGAAAATGCATCGCGTCGTGTCCATCCCCGGCGCCTGACAGTATACCATTTAGCGCATGCCTTCTTTTAGGCACACAGTGGGGATCAAACCTTTCTCCCTGCCAGTGTTGGTGTCATGCTCAAGTCACCGCAGGGTCACTCCAAATTCGTGCGAATGATCTTTCAAGCGTAGGTGGGCGATTACATCGAAGAAAATCGTGCGTAAATGACACCGGATAATTCCAGATCAGGCTTATTTCTTTCTCAGCCTGTTTCGCAGTGCCGTTTAAACACTCCCCTTAGCTCCCACAGAACCCGTTTTAATGCCCGGGGTGTGATCATCTCGACCGTGCAATCCTCACCAACTACTCCTGGAAATTAGGCACCTCGCACGCCTTGAATGTTGTAATTAGCATTTAATTGACATGTCATTACCAGCAATATCCTAAATATGACAGCGTATGAGGATTGCGGGCTGCCATGGGCGCGTAAAGGCACTAAGGGATGTCAACGTTTATCAGCTGGAATCTTTATTTTTACTCACTTTTAGTTGCCGCCTGTGGACGTGTCTGCACCTTCGCAGATATTTCCGCTGTTGTTTAACACGTTGGTGTCTCCCCTGCACTAAAATGCACACAATCTGGTTGCGGTTTTGAATAATAACTTTGCTTGTTTTTGTTGCAGAGCAGCAGAAAACGACAGTGATTGAAAACGGGGAAATTCGTTTTAATGGCAAAGGCAAGAAGATTCGCAAACCTCGGACAATTTATTCCAGCTTGCAGCTACAAGCGCTCAATCATCGTTTCCAGCAAACACAGTACCTCGCTTTACCGGAGCGCGCTGAGCTGGCTGCCTCTCTAGGACTGACACAAACCCAGGTATGGGACGAATACCCACTGCTTTACAGCTTTATAATGAATCCTGTCAATTATAATATCAGCGATAATGTCGATCTAATTTTAACAAATCGATATTAATAATAATAATAATTTATTTTTGAATGTTCGTGCTTTTTCTCTGTTTATAATGTGTCTCCCATTACTTTAATATTTGCTTAAATAAAACCAGCCCTCTCACAGTTCCACTCAGGTGCTTCACCCGTTTATCCTTTTCGTTCTCTGCCGCAGGTAAAGATTTGGTTCCAGAATAAGAGGTCAAAGTTCAAGAAGCTACTGAAGCAAGGCAGCAACCCGCATGAGAGCGACCCTATACCAGGCTCCATGTCCCTCTCCCCGCGCTCCCCGACCATTCCTCCAATATGGGACGTCTCGGCGTCTTCCAAAGGAGTAAACATGCCGGCCAACAGCTACATGCCCGGCTACTCTCACTGGTATTCCTCTCCACATCAAGATTCAATGCAGAGATAGATTGGTGAGGCTAAAAGGTCAGTGAGCTGTCTGGAGGCCTCCGGATCCTCCGCCATGCAGTTTCCAACGTAGCCTACAATTTGTGTCAGCGCAGAGACTGGATGCTGGGGAGGAGAAAGAATAACCCCATCCGCTGCTCCTCGACCGAAGGATAAAACAGATAAAGCAGCCAAACCTCGGCGTGATGACACAAACAACGGAACTAACCATTTTTTAGCGTACATGGCTGTTCAGTGGACTCGCATATTTGTTATGCTTTCATTCATGTCAACATCTGAAAGTCAATATACCAAATATTATCAGTGACATTTCAGCCACTTTGGGCAAAGACTGCTTACACTCTCCGTGCGCTGTGGCGCCCAGAACCTTTTGCCATGGTGGACTCCTGACTGCTTTTTTTTTTTTTTTTTTTTTTCCAACATGCAAAACCAAGCAAATTGTCTGTCTGTAAATATAATCTGCGATTTTAGTTGTACATACACTTTTTATGTTTTGTCAGATTGAGTAAACCCGTGACTCAAAACAGACGCCTGCTGTTGCATGATTTCCAAATATGAGTTTCATTTTAAAGTAGGCCTTTTTATGCTTCATATTGGGCCAACATCACATTATAACAGACTAATTCGGTGTATAACAGACAATATGAACATCAGTTAATGACAGTGCTCAGTGAAAAGCTAAATAAATGCAAAGCGCTCAGTGGCTGACGAAGGAAGCTACAGTATAAATGCACTCAACACCAGAGGAAATTGACTTACCCTGCACCGCTGCTGTCTACATTCACCTTGAAAGACATTTGCTTCTGGTCCAGCTTATCTTGTCATTTCACCCTCAATTATTAGAAGTATTGACAAAATGTTTTCTCCCTTCACTCCGTCCTAATGCAGGCCGTTAAATGCCAAGCTCCACGGGATCGATGTTGAACAAAGCAGCCAGCTGCAGTGGCGTTCAATATGAAGGAGATATTTGGGACAATTTGTGGGTTTTTATCCAAGTGAGGCTTTTTTCCATTCTCATAAATGCAGGCATAATTAGGGTAATTTTTGATGTAGCCCGCTGATTACAGCGTTTTTACCGTCAAAGATAATTACCTGTAATTTTCTACCACTTTTAATACTAAAAGGCATCTTTATTTGGATTTGAGGTAGCACAGATGGAACAAAAGGGAAAATTATTCGGTTATTCATATACAAATTGCTGAGAAGAGTGAGCGCTCGGGATATTATCTGAAATTACAACGCTGAAAAGCTTCATGCAGCTGTCAAGTCGCGGATGTCCCACTGGCGCACATTCAGTCTACCTGGGCCCCCAGGCTGGGGCCTGTCTGCCTCTGGGTCATGTGCACCCTGATCTACAGGCTGCAGGGTGCCCGTCGCAGCAGTCGAGTAAACATCAACAGAACTCATAAATACACAGTTGAGCATATTCAGCTCCAAGAAATGACAGATTCCGTGTGTTTTGGATATGAAAAACGCCTTTGATGAACTAAATGAAAGAAGTTTGAGACAGACAGACAGACAGACAGATAGATAGATAGATAGATAGATAGATAGATAGATAGAAAGAGAAAGTGTAGCAGAGTGACAGAGACAGATATGGGGGTGGGTGATGAAGGAAGGAGGGATGTGGCAGTTCTTGCTCTGTGAGCTCTATCAATAGCTGATGCACTATACAGCAGACCTTTCACATAAACGTTCCTATAGGCTAGCAGATGAACAATACTCGTAAAGACACCCACAGTCCAAATTCTCTCTTAAAAAATATCAATTAGTTTTTAGGGAAATGAAAGACATCCTTGTCTGTCGATAGCCCTGATCATACGAATAGGCTCACAGCTCTGATTAAAGACGTTTCAGCCAAGAGTGCCATAGCACTAAGATCAGGAATAGAAGAAGACAGAAAACATAAGACTCCTCCTTACCTTTCTCCGCTTCTCTAACATAGACTGACCAAAACGCGCTGCAAGGTTTTACCGTTGGTGGTTGGATAAGCAAATCCAGGTGGGAAAGTGTTTGCACACCCCGGTAAGCTCTTATATATTGCCTGCAAAATTAGCTGTTATTACTGTCACTGTTTAGTGATGGCGAGCTTGGAAAAAAAGCCCTCTGCAATCAAGAACCAAGCGCATCTTTGCAAATTATAGGTAATTGTCAATGTCCAGATTATGATAATGGAGGCCCTAATCCTGGAGAATAATTATTGTGGAGTGTTACAGTTGAAGCTGTCCAGTAAAGCTAACTGTCATTATTTAGACTCGATTTGCAAAACGGGGGGAAACTAGCTGAGTGGAAAATATTCGGTTGGAAATAAACGGGGGCTCTCGATATAATGGCACCACTAGTGTGTGTGTGTGTGTGTGTGTGTGTGTGTGTGTGTTTGTGTTTGTGTTTCTATGGCTGGGGGGGCACCTTTTTGGTCAAACCCAACGTTGT